CGACTTCTCAAACAAGACGCATGAATAAACAAGAGGAAGCTCACTATGAAGTTTATGAAGGAAGCAGAATTTGGGGATGAGCTACTGGCCCCACGCCTTGCAAAACCCATTCTTTCAAGCTGCATCAACCTCCATGTTGGTTATCACGGTGCAAAGAAATGGCAAACTAGTCAGCTGGAAAGGAAGCCTGCTGCTTTGCTGCCTGGCTGTAACAGGCTGTTGCCTCTGCATGATTCGACTGCCTCCAAATGACCCTAGCTTTGTCTCCCACCCTCCTCCAAAAAATGGCTTTGGTGCAAAGAGAAGGTGCAATGCAGATCAGTCCAGCCGCCCTACCTTCCACCAGGCCCGGCAACCTTATAAAAATTCCTCTCATTTACTTCAGTTGAAGGATTCTCAGGCTTTGCCCAAGCAAAGCTGTCAGGAGAATAGAGGCCATGTTCAATTTGAGGAAAACCAAGTAGATCAAGGCCACCTCCATAAGCAGAGATGATCGACCCTGGTGCCTTGCTCATGATCAAGTATTTCATCCAAATGCCTCGATTACAGCAGATTGTGGGAATTTAGAGAGTACTCTGCAAAACCTTTAGACAAAGGTATATACAAATCTCAACCCTCTCTCGCCCGCCAGGTGACTGCAGACTCCACCGCAAGCAAACCAACCCTGGCCTTTGTTCTCGTGGGCAGCCCCAGGATAACGGTTTGGGGTCTCGACAGAGACGCGCTGGGGAGTCATGCAGGAGCGAGGCGGGCAGGGACCTGCGGAGGTCACATCTAGCCCAACCCCTGCCTGAGACAGGGCCAGCCCTGTGCAAGCCAGCCCAGACAACTATCATCTAAACTCTCCTTAAGAGTATGCAAAACTCTATACCAGGGTATGCAACCAAAATATAAACTCTACATAAGGAGCATTCTGGGGAGCTTCCCAAATTGCATCAGGTGCCTGGTCACAGGCCTGGCCCATGGTACCCCACTGCCTGGACATGATGCAACCTTCACAATCATAGAAAATGAGGGTGTGACGGGAGCTCAGGTAACATCTAGTCCAACCCCCTGCTCAAACCAGGACCAGCCCCAGCCCCAACTACATCATTGATCCAATCCTCTAATTTGTCTGTTATTTGACAGACCAAAGCTTTGTCTAGCTGGGTCTTAAACACCTCAAAGGATGGAAGAATCCACCACCTTTCTGGGTAATCTGCTACAGTGCTTCACCACCCTCCTCGTGAGAAAGTTTTTCCTAATATCCAACCTCAACTTCCCTTGCTGCAGCTTGAGCCCATTGCTTCTTGTCCTGCCATCTGCCCCCACCAAGAATGGCCCAGCTCCATCCTCTTTGCAGCCCCCCTGCAGGGAGGTGAAGGCTGCTATTCAATCCTCCTCGGTCTTCTCTTCTCCAGACTCGATCAGCCCAGGTCCCTCAGCCTCTCCTCACCAGTCCTGTCCCCCAGCCCCACAACCATTTCCATTGCCCTCCGCTGGACTCTCTCCAACATGTCCACATCCTTTCTGTCGTGGGGGCCACAGCTGGACACAGGACTCCAGATGTGCCCTCCCCATTGCTGAACAGAGGGGAAGGATCACTGCCCTTCATCTGTGGGCACCGCTCCTACCCATGCAGCCCGGGATGCCGGTAGCCTTCTTGGCACCAAGGGCACACTGCTGGCTCCTGTTCAGCTTCTTGTCCCCTGCCCTCCCAGGTCCTTTTCTGCAGAGCTGCTGCCCAGCCCGTCACCCCCAGCCTGCACCGGTGCAGGGGATCGCTCCCTCCTCAGTGCAGCACTTTGCACTTGTCCTTGTTGAACCTCACGGGATTTCTTTTGGCCCGGTCCTCCAGCGTGTCCAGGTCTCTCTGAATCCTAGCCCTGCTTGTGGAAGAGTCGAACAACGCAACAAATGGGCAGGAGCACTCTCCCCCACAAACTTGCTGTGTGACCTCAGGCAATTTCTTGAAACGTGCTGCTTCTCTCTCTGCTCATCTGTACACTGGGAACAACAATGCCTCACAAATATTTTGAACTCTACAAATCTTCACTGCTAAGAACGGGGAACCTCATTACTAAATATCTTTTATACAGTTATTTTGGGGAAATATTCAATAGAATAATGCTTGGCATATTCAGCCTTTGGCCTATTTAACTCTTGTAACCTTGAATCTTGTAAACACACAGCATTTTGATAGGATGGCTGGTTTTATACTGAGTTTAATTTTAAGTCAGGATGCAAAGGCATTAATACCTACCAGTGTGTACAAAAACTTTCAAGAGATCTTTTTTCACAGAATTCTGCTCACAACAATTTTTATTCTGCAAATATGATTTCTCTGTTGCACTGGAGGATAACACCTGGGAAGACTTGGGATCCTGGCTTGCTCTGCATGGACAATACAGGCTCCACGGAACTAGGAGCCTGAAGGAAAGAGTAGGACATTGGCTCTTTTTCCATTGCTAAAATTTCCTTCTCATTCCTTACCCGCAAACGCTGTCATTCAGCTGCAGGCCTCCCTCAAAGATGACCTGCCTTTCCGTGGCGTAAGCAAAGCACTTGAGGATCTTCTGAGATTTAAAGGCACTGGAGAAATATATTAATCCTACTGTTTATTCCCCCCACCTTAAATCAGACCTCCCGCTCCGACATTGCAACTGCTGTGATGCCACAAAGGGAATTAAGGAACTCTCCGTTCCTGATTTCCCACGTCCATCCTTGGTAATAAACACACAGAAAAGAGAAACATGGAAGTTATCTGACAGATCAACAGAACTGTCTCTAAATCGACTATTTGCCAACGTTTCCCACGAGGCGTCAGCAGGCTTTTAGCTGACAGGAAGCTCCTGTTTCATCATTTCTGTCTGAGCATCTCAAGGTAAGCATGTAAATAACTAGACAAATTCAGCAGTGACTAAGTGGCCTTCCAGATGGCACCTTCCCTCTTGCCATGAGCAAAGAACATTGATATTCTTCTCCAGTTACTTGAAGCTTGCTAGAGGAAAAAAAAATTAACTTAATGTGAGAAAATGCTGGGCTTCAAAAGCAGGTCTCCAATGTTACGCTGAAAATTGTGCAGAAAAATTCTCTCTAAGATGACGGCAACAGAAGAGACGGCAGGCAGAGGTGCCGAGGGATAGATCTCACCAGACCTAAAGAGCTAATAAGGGGCAGGGTCTATTCAAAACTGACTGGGAGACCTATAGCTTTTGGAGACCGATAGCATGAGACTTGCTGAGATGAGGAGTACTACGTAAAAGGTAGGCACGCGAGGTTCTTTGGATAAATGCGGTATGTTTTATTAGACCAGCTAAATAGTTGGGGAAATTGGTCTTTGCAAGCTTTCAGGTACAAACACCCTTCTTCTATGGAAAAGGTAGGGCTTTTTTCTTTCTTTCTTTTTTAACAGAAACAAGGAAATATAAATGCCATCAAAAACAACAGGAAGCAGGAAGAGAGGAGCAGGTGGGCTAACTCCTTTGCTTTGCACAAACTATTCTCTTAAACCAGTTTAAGAAGCTTGAAATTCTTTTATCAGCGGACAGCCCAAAAATGAGGCCCACCTGATTCACTTCAAGTGTGCAAACCAGGAGGATGAGTAGGATGCTACATCCAGCTCTGCTCTCGAGCTCTCCTCGATAGAAAGTCCTCTCCCCTCCCCTCCTGAAAGCGCTGCAAGGAGGTTGCTTAGCCAAGAAGGACTGACAGGACACCTTCCAGAGTCCATCGGTGCTAGTGCTAGGTCAGCTGGAAGGGCTGCTGCTAAATGATGCAAGACACTTAAGCCTCCGCTGGGACTGAGAACATTGCTTCCACAGCACTTCCTCATCCTGCCAGTCCTGGAAGCAGGAAACCAGACCCAAAATAAGACACAAATGTCTTGCACACGGCTTCTGGAGAGGTAGAGCGACGAGTCAAAAACATTTCAGGATTTCTGAGAGGTTCGGGGTCAGTCACTGACCCTGGACCATCAAGCCATGTTGCCGAAAAGCCCTGCTGGCTACCACCAACCTGAAGACGCCGGCCTCTCGGCTCTAGAGTTGACCCTGAAATAATCCATGCCGCCGTGAACCCTGAGGCTTGAGTTGCAATGTGCTGCCTGAAGGCCCTGGCTTGGGCCAAATCAGTTGTCTGCTTTCTTGGAGTCCAGTGTGAACCCCCCGTGCCCGAGTCTGCACTCCCTTTCCATTTGCATCTACATAAAACTCAGCAAACTGGAATGGCCTGGGACCTGAAAATCCAATGGCTGCCTATCGTCCTTTACCCCATATAAAAGGCAACCAAAATTGAGTAGACAGACTGGTTATTTGAGGCCGCACTTGAACACCACCGGCCTGGTGAAACATGCTGTAAGATTATAGGGCTGGAAGAGTCGTCTAGTCCAGTCCCCTGTTCCCTGGGGCTGAACTAAATGACCTTGGCAGCTCAGTCTGAATCTGGCAGCCTTCAGAGCACAAAGCAAAATAAATTTGCTTTTTTGGCTTATTATTAACTTATGTGTGTTTTAATTTTCTATAACGAAAGCTCCTGGGTTACTGCTAACAAATCCAATCGAAATATATGAATGCAGGGCATTGGCTCTCATGGCACCGCATCACCCCACCACCATCTTCTTGTGTAAGGAAAATACGGACAGAAAAGTTAATGCAATTGCTGAATACAAGCTGGGATCACAGGCGACGATGCACACTGTTTGCCACGAATGCTTGCTGGATGTCAGCGGTATGCTTTTGGTACACCTGAGGACCAATGGCACAGTTGATGGTATCTGGCCAAGTTTGGCAAAATTATTATATTAAATCAATGTAATGAAAATGCCTCTGGACTGATCTGCTCAGAATCTACATGAGATGAGGTTAATTACTGGAGGACTTTTGAATGACGTGAGGAAAGCACACAGTACGGAGCAGAATAAATGGATATAAGCAAGCAAGAGAGAGCAAGAAGCAGACACACACACACACACGTGCACGCGCACGCACACAGGAGAGAGGAAAAAGAGAGACAGAAAGTACCTGGAAAGCTGTGAGTGCGCCAGTCCCTGGGTTATACAGGCATCGCAGCGAGGGCATGCTGTCCGCCAGGCTGGAGCAGCCCAGCCACAGAGATCTGGGCATAGAGCACTGCAGAGAAAGGACAACTATGAGATGGGACTGTATGAGACAGGATGGCACAGATTACAGGATCTTTCAAGGCTTAGCTGAACGGCAGCACCAGAACTGCAGCTGGCCTTAAAGGCTGAAACATCCTCAAGAAACACACATCCCTGATCCGTCTGGCCCCGCACGGGAGTTTAGAGATGCCAGTGGCAAAAAGGGGAGGGGAAGACATGATGGTCTGAGACCGTCAGTCAACATTTTGCATTAGCGTGGGCGCGTGTATTAAAGAAACGGACTTCTTTCCAATTAACCGGCCCTCTTTTGTTTCCACCTAACACGCGTCACAGCGAATGATTCTGCAAGGAAAAAGAATAGCACGTCGAGTGCCGGTGAAAAGAGCAAAGGTGCGGCGGGTTTGTTTCCTGTCCCCGAGAGGGTGGGATAAGGCAAGGAAGGCCAGTAGTTGCCTAGAGGCAGTTTGCAAGAGTTCGGCCTTCCTACTTGTTCTGCTGCTAATTGCAAAGTAGTTAATACAGCAGACTTCACCTTTCCAAACGGATCTCATGCACCAAAGGGGCCAGGCCACTGAAAGAAGGAAAACAGCAGCAACTGCTCACGGTTGTTCAAAAATGCAAGTACTGACAAGGTTAAAAATATGGCTGTGCTCTGACAGCCAACTTGTTCTTACCCGATTTTTTGATGCTGTAACTGCTACTGGTGGTGAAATGCTGATACATTTTAAATGGGCACCTATTTATGAAAATGGTAGGATGTGACGGATTAGCTACATGAAATCTCAAACCACTATATTCATGTCTGCACCCCCACATCATATTAAGCCTTTTTTAAGTGGTAGGGGGCTGGAAGGAAATTCGAGTGGAAGGGACAGCTGGAATGGGTATGAGATGGCAGCTGCGTTTTGGGCCACTTTTTCTGCTGCTTTGGGAGGAGTTGCAAGTTGAGCTTTAATTGAATATGTGGGAGTTATGGGGCTAATCACAGAAAATGAGGGTGGAAGGGACCTCACATCTAGTCCACACCCCTGCTCCAAGCAGGACCAACCCCAACTACATCATCCCAGACAAGGCTTTGTCTAGCCAGGCCTTAAAACCCTCCAAGGAAGGAGAGACCATAACCTCTCTGGGTAATCTGTTCCAGTGTTTTACTACCTTCCTAGTGGGAAAGTTTTTCCGAATATCCAATCTCAACTTCCCTTGCTGCAGCTTGAGCCCATTGCTCCTTGTCCTGTCGTCTGCCCCCACTGAGACCAACCCAGCTCCATCCCCTTTGCAGCCCCCCTGCAGGGAGGTGAAGGCTGCTATTCAATCCCCCTCCGTCTTCTCTTCTGCAGACTCGATCAGCCCAGATCCCTTCCCCAGTCCTGTCCTCCAGCCCACAACCATTTCCATTCCCCTCCGCTGGACTCTCTCCAACATGTCCACATCCTTTCTGTAGTAGGGCCCACAGCTGGACACAGGACTCCAGATGTGGCCTCCCCAGTGCCGAATGGAGGGGAAGGATCACTGCCCTCCATCTGCGGGCACTGCTCCTACCAATGCACCCAGGATGCCGGTAGCCTTCTTGGCACCCAGGGCGCCCTGCTGATTTGTTAATCTTGGAATGGACAGAAAGAAGATGGCTTTTATCTGGTCCACAATTTGCTACCACTTGAACCAAACTGCCGTTAGGCACTGTTAGTCCACGTCACTAGTACACATTGCTCCAACCGATGCTCCTCCTCCAAAAATAAGTCATATTTGAAAAATTCACCAGAGCACATCATCTGTGAACACCTGCATTTGAGGAGCGTCTGTTACTGTAATGTAATCTCACCTCCGTTTCATCAACTCTTCTCTTCACGCAAAGCCTCGGATCTGAGAAGTTGACTACTCCTTCAACGTTAAACCTCTCCAACCCCACGCCAGGTAGAGAGATTAGCCCTCCTGATAGGCAAGATGAAGCGGGAATGATTGCCAGGGTATTGCAGCAAGCAGCTGAAACCTGAGTCACGCTTCCTCGTCTGCTGCTCTAACCTAGCAGACAATGCTTCCCTCCCACACACAAAAGAACTCGAAATCCCAATTATCTTCCCCCAGGCAAAAAACCCTACTTTATAACTATTTATAAAGCTCTTATCACCATAGCAGCCGAGCAACCCTAGTTCAAAAACCAACAGGGGCGGAAGGCATATATTTGCTTAAGCATTTGTCATGTTTTTGATATGCTAATTTAAATCGGTTTAAGCCCGTGTGTTCGGCCGGGTCCCCTATTCACTGGATCCGTTTGGTCAAAGTGCTCATAGGAACGAGGAGATTAGCTATGGTGCCAAGGCACTAAAGCAAAGATAAACGTTTCCATCTTGCTCTCCAACCCACTTAGTACAGTTGACGCTGTAAGCTGCCCTGTTAAGTGGAATAAAAAAAAAAAAACTATAAGAAGCCCAGAGTAGAGGAGCCGAGAAGTGGGCATTTTATACAACTATCTAGAGCAGTGGTTTTCAACTTTTTTCATGTGTGGACCCTTAAAAAGTTTTGAATGGAGGTGCGGACCCCTTTGAACAGCAAGCATGGGTATTGACATCCTGTTGACTGATTGTAGTCACCTTTCGTGGACCCCTTAGACATGGTCTGTGGACCACAGGTTGAAGACCACTGCTCTAGAGATTTAAACCACACCATTAGAGAGGGGTCCAAGTATCGCACAGAGCCGAAGGCTGCTTAGCCAGCATACCCAACTGCTCAGCTCGCTCTGTCTACCTCTATTCTTCTCATACATTTCCTGGACCAACTATACTTTAACCCCTTATTTTTCCTAACACGGCATGAGAGGTTCATACATTCACAGACTGTAAGGGGCTGGAAGGGACCTCACCTGACCATCGGGTCCAGCCCCCCGCACTAGGCAGGAAGGACAAGGGGGTCAGGGGACCCGAGATAGTCCTCTACTGCCATGGACATCAGGAACCAAATCTGACCACATGAAGCAGAAAGCAAACACTTCTTCCTGTTGCAAAAGGGGTCCATATTGCACTGCCACATACGTTTAGTGGGGGAAGCCCTGCTTGGACCAGACGAAGTCCCTTCCAACCCTCGTTTTCTATGGATTTGAAAAGTCTGGACTCTCTCCATTGTAAAAAAGACACTGAAATCCTACCTTCTCTCCTCTGAAGCTGACGCTATCCAGGGAAGGGGATGTTAGACATCCATTTCATAGAGCCCTGGCAGCTAATCCACATTTACTTACTTACCTATGCAACCTAGTAGGTTAATATCATTTCAAGCCCAAAAGAGAATAGACAATAAAAAATAACTGGTTCCTCGCCTGGCTCTTGAACCAGTCAGCTAGGATTTCTCTCATGTTCATAACAAGATTTATATTGCTGCTAGAGATCCAATGTTGATTTAAAAAATACATAAATTAATTAAAAATCAAGATTTGTTGTCTTTAAAAGACCAAAGGTGCGCTCAGTGGGGGGAAATGTCACTCCTGTACTTACTTTCTATCTTTTCAAAGAAGCAGAGACTCTAAATTACAATTGGTGACTGAAAGCAGCTTATTCACAAGCTCGAACAAAAGGCCCCAGGTGCTTCAATAGAAACAGCTTGTGTGTAAATCAGATGAGTGACCCAACAGAACAACTTCATTTACAGCCTGATCTCTGAAAATCTCAGCGTTCCCCATCCCCAGCCACCGACCACGCTGCATGTCAAACGCTCGCTTTTGTTCTGACAGCTCCACAAACAAGGGGCTGGCCTCGGCATTTCCTATTTGAAAACAGACCGACAAAATCCTCTCCTGAACCCGTGTCAATCTACATCCTTTCTTTCTTTCTTTCTTTCTTTTTTTTTTTTTTTAAATCAAAATGGATGCAAAAAGCACTACGAGTTTTGACTGCGACCAGATGGGAATGCCAGTATTCCCATCTGGCCGCAGTCAAAGCACTGGGCCTAACCCCTGGCAGCGGCTCTCCGCTTCTGTCATTTGATTAGGACTTGGACTTGTGTGACAACTTTGGGACCCCAGAGTGCTTTACAAAAATTAATAAGCCTCAACACATGTGAGGCCGTTATATTCATTTTATAGATGAAGAAGTGTCTTACCCAAGGCCACAGAGCAAGCCTATAACACAGCCAGAAAGAGAAATGAAGTCCCCGTTCCCAGGCCTCTGCTGCCGGCAGAAACACGCTCCCGCACCGGAGGTGTAGAAAATGTGGGTTCAGGTCAGACCCATGAGACACCCCCCTGGCAGAAGCTAGGCACAAAACACCGAAAACCATTGCTGGTAACAGAATAAACTCAGCAAGACAGGGTTGGCTTGTTTGTTTTTAGCCCCTAACACACTGTGGTTGGCCTAGCCTCGGAAGCACGAGTTTATATCCTCCCTAATATAACGTATAATAGAAAACGTCTAATTCTTCCCTCAACCCTGCTGGACTCTTTTGCATGTTATGGGAAAGACAGTCACCGGCTAATTAGGAGTTCCTCTTATCAGGTTATATGGCTTCCTCTGATGAGTTTTACACTGACTCCGTTTGTACACCCCCTTCGTTCCTGTATTAGGTTAAGGATATAGAGGAGTGCTATATCTGCCTTCTCGAGAGCACGTGCTATTTCGGATAGCCCCATCACGTCCCTTTTTGCTCACCGTCTCTCTAAACGCCCATTCTCCGCACGCTATGTGTTTCCAACCAGTATGTGGTGGAGTCCCGGTTTTATTGAGCCTCTCAAAGGGCACTGAAGATATTTTTCCCTGACCCAATAAACGCGCATTTTGAACGCAGCAACAAATACATTTAAATTATTCAGTCCAGATCTTATCTCATATTTTTCAACGCTGCATTTCATTTGCTATCATGAAATCCATTTACTTAACTCCAGTCAGTCCTGGTAATCCTCAGTCTTCTTCAGCTTTGCCTGACCTAGATTATTGTTTTGTTCATACCTCTTGCCAAGTATTAATATATTAAGCACAAAACCAGGCCCAATATAAATTCCAGTGTTAAACCTTTTCCAATGGTAAAAAC